CAGCTCCTACATGACAACACACAACTTTTGCAATATGCCACAACTTAGTGGAATGGAGTGGTCAGAAGCAGACTCCCAGGTCAGGCTTGCTGGCTGTGTGTACAAGGGCAAGTTATTAATCTCATCAGTAAAATGAAAGTGTTAGTAGTGACTACCTCCTGGGATAGTTGAAAGGCTTATATTACAAACCCACTCTGTGATGATCATTATTCACATTTTATAGACGAGATTCATAGAGCTAGTAAGTAGCCACACTGAGACACAAACCCAGCTCTGCCTGAGTCTAAGACACACATTGTTAACCACTATGTCCACTGCCCCAAGGAGAGAAAGCTTTGTGGGCACCAGTAGGACAGACCTAACGGCAAAAAGCAGGGAAACGTGGGTCATGTTTCACTTCTCCTTTAGAAACTGTAGGGGAGGAAGACATTTCCTCTTCCCAAATGGGGGTTCGTCTGGCTGGAGAATGAATTAAATTCACATAAGACAGAATAGCAAGAGAAAATTAAACAAAGCTTTATGAGGAACCATGGCCCGGGGCCTTTCTTCCCAAAGGAAGAAAGGGCACTGAAGAAGTGGGGTGCACAGAGTGGTTATATACCCCCAAACGGGGTGTTTCACATGTGATTGAAATGTCCCTCCCACAATAGTCACAAGATTGCCCTGTCGGCACAGCCCTTGATGGACACAGCAGGTAGTGGTCTGCTGTCTCAGAGGGCGTAGCTGGAGGCTAGTCGATTGTCTGGAGCTGGGCGGTCACAGGTGAGCCCAGCAGCAATCAGTTCCTAGCCTAAGGAAAGATGCTTAATCCTTAAAGAAATACCAACGTTGGGAGGGGGAGCGAAGTCAGTTACAGGAGGTTACCAGAGAAGCACAATAAAATGCAGATTTAAGTCCTTGCCTTTGGTCTTGATTAAGAGTTTTTAGAGAGAGAAGGTCATCTCCTTTCTTCTTCCTGGTACAGAGAGGGAGGCACCTTTTACAGATAGAGATTTACCTTACAAATGTAAACGTGTCCTAACAAAGGGCAAGTTCCATTCCTCCTTCCCTGTCCCAGTTTATCAAAAGCAATCAGCTTCAAATAATCCTGATGCCAAAGAGACATATCTTGGGGTGGCCAATTTCAGGTTCCCACAATGCCTATAGAACTTACTTTTGCTCTTATTTTTTTGCATGCTGCCTTTTAGAAATAAGCCCCAGTCAAGTATAAAGACTTTAAGGGTGGGGACAACTTCTTGCTCATTTTTGTTTACTTCATATCATCTACCATAGTACTTTGGACACAGTAGGTGTTCAGTAAACATCTTCAATGAAATTGAGCTTGAGCCCAAGAGTGTAAATACCAACTAATATCCCTGGGCTACTGGGGACACTTAAGGTTCCCGAGTGAGGTATCTATCTGGCAGTTTACAGAGTTCCCTAAATTTTTAATATATTTTATCTTCAAGCAATTCATAGCATGGTGCTACCAATGGATATTATCCAAATGAATCTTAACTTTGCTTCTTAACTGGCTATATGACTGTGGGGCAAGTTACTTAGCTTTTCTAAGACTCAGCTCTCTTATTTGTAGAACAATACTATCATTATAGAATCAAAGAGGATGGAATGAAAATACAGATAAAGCGCTTAGTATAGTGCCTGGATCATAGTAAGCACTCAATAAATGCCATCTATTATAATTAAATTAAAATATTAAAGAATATTTCCTTTATATTTTGGTTTTTTTCAGAATTGTTAAATATGTGTGGGTAGACAGGGTCAAGGAAATGAAGGACAAAGGACAGTTGCCCAGGGATCTGGCACTGTGAAGAGGACTGATTTCTGGGAGGCAGTTTTGCTGGGAATTACTGTTAAAAGCTTCACCTAAGGAATACGCTCTCCCTGGGGCATCTCTGAGTAGTGCTGACCACGGTTGTGGATCCCTCTCTGGGGATAAAAATTTCAAAGGGCATAAACTTTCTGAAAGTGTTAGTGTCAAGCTTCTTGCCCTTTGGGTCTCCATGGATTAATTAAATCGATTCCCATCCTTCAGCTTTGTGGATCAGGCTTTAGGTAGATATACAGTGTGTGTTTTTAATAACTCAGGAACTAAAGTGTGTCTCTTTCACCTTCCAGCCCACTCTGGTTATCCCTGGGAAGCAGGGAGTGTCTGTGCTGGCTTATTCTTTTGGGGTAATCTGCGGCCAGGATTCTTTGTGGGGCTGGGAATTTGCTGTAGGGGATGTGGCTGCTTCTCAGATATGCAAACAGGAAGGCTGAAGCAGCTGGGCTTGAAGCTATTTCATTTCCACCAACATTGTGGACTTTCTACAAAGTAGGACTGTTCTAGGAGACAGAGGGTGGGGTGGCATAGAAGAATTACAGATTCCTGAGACACAGCCCTGACCCTCAGGGATGTGTAACTTAGTGGGAGAGATGGGTATGATGAGGATTTTTAGGCTGCTTAATTTTAAAACAGTTTATGACAAAGATTTTTAGGCTGGTTACTTTTAAAACTACAGATAAGAAGCAGGCTCCGAGGAGTGGAATTTGTTTGCCCTTTGATCAGAGACAATTGCATTTGTGAAGGAAATCTCCATGCCTCCCTCTCTGCGCCAGGAGGAAGGGGGGATGACCTTATCTCTGGAAACTCTTAATGGGGAAGGCAAGAACTTAAGTTGTTTACTGTCTGGCAACCTCATGTAACTGACCCCCCACCCCAAAATCCTCCTTTGTCTTTAGTTGAAGATAATATTTGAGCGGTGACTTCTGCCATTTACTCAATCCGGTTTGATTCTTATCTAAAAGTTGTGGGACCGCCCAATGGCCGGACCCTACCGGCACTGGTACCATTTTAACTTTTTTTCCCTTTGTCTTGTAAAGAGATGACTCACATACCCATGCCTTAAATTTAGCCCTAACCCTCAACTCGGGGCAGCAGCAGGAGCTCTGACTGCCCGTGGGTCTTGTCCCCACGCACCAGCTCTGCCTGCCCATGTGTCCTGTCCCCATGCCAGCGGGGGCAGCAGCAGCGGCTCTGCCTGCCCATGGGCTCTGTCCCCATGCCAGCGGGGGCAGCAGAAGCGGGGGCAGCAGAAGCGGCGGCAGCAGAAGCTCTGACTGCCCATGGGTCCTGTCCCCATGCTATTCTATACTATTCTCTAAATAAAAGAACACTACTGCCAGATCTTAAGAGTCTAAAGAAATCTTTCTTTCGACTCCTCGGCTCACCGACCCCGCATCAGGTATATCAACAACTAACTATAATGCAAGACAGAGTGAATTGTGAGCCTTGCTCATGGGAAAAGCCATGGGCCGAGAAAGCCGGAGAAAAGAGAAATCACATCTAACTAGTTGGATAAGAAGGACTAAAATTTCAAAAGGTGGAAAAGTGGGGAAAGGCATTGTAGGTGGTTGGGGAGCAGCCTGGGCACAGAGACGTGGAAGTGCTTAGATGAAAAGGAATGGCAAGTTGTGAGGGTACCTGGAGCGTGGGTGAAGTGGAGGATGCCGAGTGGGAGGAGAAGTCAGGGCAGACTTTGAACTCTACCTTCAGGACTTTATAGGACCATTGTAGGTCTTCCTGGGCCTGTGGTGTCCGTGGATGTCCCAATGCCCTTGATAGCAATCACATTGAAATGCATCCACATTCCACATTAAGATCGACATAGAACTATAACAGCTGAGCGGAGTGAGTTGAGCTCCCATTGACTAGTTCATTGTACCTCTAGATGTGGTCCTAGGACCAGTGCCAGTCCAGGAGAGTTTGGAATCAGTTTGGAATGTGATTAAGTACAGAACTCAGAGAAAACACTGAGAAAATTTTATAGCAATTTGACATTGCCACAATAACCAAGCATGTGATTGTTCTCCTAGTAATTCATTTTTATTCTAATTTCCAAAAATATTGGTCCACAATACAAATGGAAGTACATTGGTCTAAAATACATTGGAGATTTTTTAATTTCCATGGTCCAAATTTTTTTAAACATTGGGAATTTTTTTAAAAGTTGAGAAGCTCCAATCTAGTTGAAATAATTTGACTTTCTTAAAGAAATCTGAGGTTGGAGATAACAGAGGAAAGAGTCGGTGAACTTGAGGATAGATCAATAAAAATTATACAATTTGAATAGTAGAGAGACAAGAGATTGAAATATCTAGTACTCATCATCGTATCTACATTATAGTACATTGTGCCTAAACATTCTGACTTAGTTGAAGATAATTTTGTGGCAAAATTATCCACTAAAACTAACCTAAAACAAAACAAAATGAGCGTGTGTGTGTGTGTGTGTGTGTGTGTGTGGTAGGGGGTTATTATTGAGGCTACAGAGGTATCTCAAGGAATTCAAGGGCAGGAGTGCCATTGGATCTAATGAGGGATGGAGTGGGAAATGGACAATCACTAGGAATCGGAGCTGCTTCTTCCCCTCTTCCCTCTCCCACCCTTCTCTCTCTCTCTTTCCCTCTGCAGCGAATGCTGTGTTGCACTGCCCAGATCCTCATTCAGGAATAAAGGACTTATTCCCCCAGCTGTTGCGAGTACTACCAGAAGATGGGCCTCTGCTGTCTGCTCTCTTCGGGGGTTGCCTTGGCTAAAGAAACAGCCTCACCTAAAGCCACGCTTTCTTCCAGGGAGAGCCCATACCCAATGATTAATCGATGGGGAGGTGTAAAGGCCTGGTTCCCTCACTGCAACTTGGGACAGCTGAGAAGGGACATCTCTGCTCTAGAGCTCCCTACAGGTTGCTTTTATTGGAGCTGCATCACAGATCGGCTGCTCTCTGCCAAATGCTACTTCTTTCTCCTCCCCTCCAGGTGTTGATCTCAAGGGTACAACCTAAGAAACGTTTGCACGTTAACTTCTCTGAGTCTGGTTCTCAGGTGACCCAGCCTGGGACACTACGCCCCCCAATCTTCCTTCCACTCTCCCTCCTCCCTTCATTTTACTGTCCCTTCTCCCTCCGTCCCTTTCACTTTTCTGACCCCTCCTCTCTTCTTCCTTTGCCCCACCTCCCTCAGACTATGAAGTCTTTCACCCCTGCTTCTCTCTGAGCTCTGCTTCACTCTCTTCTCTTTTTTTAGACCAGCTTCTTCTGCTCTTCTGGTACATGGACCCTCATGACTCCTCCAAAGTGGTGTCTTCAGCACCTCAGTCACCATCACTGTGGCTTATGCTTTTGGCATCCCACCCAGAAGCCCTTTACGAAGCTGATGCACCCATCCTGCAGCTGCTGTGGGTATCAGTTAATAACTGCTCACATTTGTACCCTTCTCTGGAGGATTGCCCCTAGCCACCTGGAACCTTTTCTCCTGGAGATGCCTGAGAGGTTGTGCTCCACCCACTTTGGTCAATGACTGTGAGATGAGAGGTATGAATGTCTACCCTTCTTTCTCTCAAGGCAGGACACACTCTGTGGTACAATTCACCCTGTAGAGTTCTCGGTGAGGCCAGGCTGAAGGTAGACATCTCCTGAAATGACATCTTTGCACAGCATCTTCCCCTGCCCTATGTTCCGTTCACTGCCTTACAGATGTAGCTTGAGATCACTCCCTCAGCACATCCCTCTGCTTTGAGGGAACCTGTCTTAAAGTCATCGCCTGACAAATCTGGTGCCTGTGGTTAATGACCCAGCCTCTACTGTCCTAATTCCAAATGTCCAGGAGAGCGAACTGGATTGGCTCAGGCAGTGCACAGCCCAGTTTCTGGATTTAATCCCTGGATTGGGACTTCACTCCAGGTCCAATCATCTATGGCTGGAGAGCGGGCGGAGTGATACAATATAGATGAGGAGGAGCGGGAGAGAGGGCAACTCTCAGAAAAGGCTGGTCAATTCCTGATACATAATGAGAACAGGCGATATCCTTTAAAAACAGAATGACAGTAAGTTACATTGACAGTAAAGTAGAGCGTGACTCAAAAGCGAGCAATATGGTGGGTGTGGAACCCATTAGCAATGGCTGGCACTTGGTGAGTGCTAGTTTTTGCCAGTTCTGTGTTAAGCACTTCGAGTGCTATTCCCATTACCGCTGCAGTGTAATAGATCACCCCAAAACTTAGTGGTTTAAAATAACCATTTTATTATGCTTATAGAGTCTATGGGTTAGGAATTTGGACAGGGTACCATGAGGATGGCTTGTCTCTGCTCCATAATGTCCAGGGTTTCAGCTGGGAAGATTCATGGCTGGTGGCGACTTAGGTGAGAGCTGGAATCACCTGGAGGCATCACTCACATGACTGGTGGCTGATGTGGCTGCTGGCTGGGACCAAAACCTGGGCTTCCTCACAGGAAGGTGGCCTCAGGCTAGTAGAACTTCTTATGTGGCAGCTCAGGGTTCCAAAAGTGAGTCTCCCAGTTCACAAGGCAGAAGCCTTATTGTTTTTATGATCTAGACTCAAATGTCAAACTGCACCATTTCTACCACATTCTATTGGTTACAAGCCTGTCCAGATTTAAGGATAGGGGAATTAAGAGCCACTCATTGATTGGATGGGGGCATGGTTCTCATAGAGCACATGGGATGGGAGATATTGTGTGGCCATATATGGGAAATACAATCCACTATGTGCACATTATCTCATTTGACCCTTCCACTGTCCTTAGAGTGGGCATTATTTTCCCCTTAAAATGAAGAAACTGAGGCTCAAAGAGGTTAGGTAACTCGCCTGTGGACAAAGCCAGTACATGCCAGGAGTGGATTTAAACTCAGTCTGCATAAAGCAGATGTTCTCCAATAGCATATTTGCTGCTTATAGGAAAAGGGAATTGAAAAAAGTAAGACATTCAAAGGCCAGTTCTCCCTTTGTGCAGGATTGGGAGTGGGTGAGACTCCTTCTTCTCCATAACCCTGATGTCAGAGTTACCATCTTGCCCATGTGGTACAGGAATCTGGTTCCTGTGCATAATTCCCCAAGGAGTTGCTTCCCAGAGACTACGTAACTACTGTGTGTACCCTTGATGCCTCAAGTTCACCAGATATGCGCTGGCAGAGAGGTTGCTGTCTGCTGCCCACAGCCTCCCCCACCAAAGTTTGGCAAAAGAGTCTGGGGAACAATGAGCTGGAGGAAGCTCTGATCCCCTCTGTGAAGGCAGCACATAGAACCAATTCATGCCAGGAATATCTTTTCAGCAGTGATCCCCTTTTGAAATCATGTCTTCTCTTAAGTTCAAATAAGGATCACTTTTTCCAGGAAGTCATCTTTAACTTTCCGATGATACTTATAATGGGAATGTTCAGATAATACTTGGCACCCACTGCTTGCTCTATTGTTTCCTAACCCCCTAATTGGTGTTCAAGGCCCCGGAGGGCAAAGACCATGCCCTACTCTTCCTCAGTTCTCCTCTCCTCCATCACTGGAATGATACCCCATTCTTACTAAGTACTCAATAAATACTGTCTGATTAGATCAAAAGGCCTCATAAAGCTTATTATTGTATTATAACAGGAGGACACGTGCACCTTCAAAAGCATTTTTTGAATCTGCTATATCACAGGCATTGTGCTAGGTGCTAATGATCCATGTGATCCAGGAGCAGGAATTTAGAAAATCAAATATGAGCCCCCTAGACTTTGTAGCTTGTCAATAACGTATCAAAACTGGTGTCTAGAAGCAAAGCATCCTTGCCCAGATTAAGAGGCCTTTATATCAGGTACATTTGACGAAAGCGCTATAAGGTTACAATCTCTATTGGCTGTCAAATGATTCTAGAGTCAGACATTTAGAAAGTCCCTGAGTAGGGTTTTAAAGATCTGAAATCTTGACTTTAGCTTCTTTATAAGATGTTTGAATGATGTTTTTAGCTGGACAGGAAAGGACAGATCTTACTCTTCTTTATTTCAAATTGTCTTCTTATAATAGGCAAATCTCTCTCCCCTTCTGTTAATTTGTCTCCATTTCACCTCAAAGTGTTTCTAAAAGCGATGACCTTTGGAAACACCTTTGAATGTCCAAGACCAGCTGATAAACCTGTTCCTAAATTATGAGTAATCAATATCAATGTTTCATCTTCACTCATTATTCGCACCATAAATTCTTTATCCAAATATAACCCCATTGTATAAAACTACTTCCTCAACAAACCATCACCAAGAAGAGAACTCCTGTAAATAATCACCTTTGGGATATGAAAGAAAATGTAAACATTTTATTTGGCAGTTGTTTCTGAACACATGAATAAATAAATGGAAAAGTACATATTAATATTTCTTTTTGGAGTAACAGACACCATTAAACGCTTATTTACACATCTTCACTTCAAAGACCAGTCACACAACTTAATTTTGTCTTATAAAAGGTAACTTCCCACACCACTGGACTGGACAGTTAAGGATGGAGATACTGGTAGTGCTTGGTACTAGCAGTCTCAAGGTTTGAAAGGCATTCATTTGCAAGTGTGATAAGAAGAGTCATCATGCATTGAGTTCATCCGGATCATGTACTGTAGAAAATTTCTGATGGCAGCCACAGCGTTTGGTGTGTCATGCGCTTAAGTCAACTATGACATGTTTGTAAATCTGTGTATTCCCCTTAAAACTGGAAGCAAAAAGAAAATTACGCTTATTAATGGACACATGTGTGAACGATCTTGGTGCCTGAACATTTAATTCCTGAAATTTCACAAATTTGGCTTTCTCTGCATCCCAGTTATATACTTGAGTGAAGGAGTAATCACTTCCAAGAATTGCATATTGATAGTTATTTATCTGAAGAGGCTGGAACACCATGGATCCTCGTGATGGCATCCTCTGAATATCCTGAAATGAGGAGCCTCCCCATTTCATTACTTTGGAATCACCAATGAATCTTGTCAAGCAAATGTACACGTCACCTTTCACTGAGAAGTGCTTAACGGCGTATACATCCTCCATGTTAGGGATGTCAGTCTGGTTAATGAATAACTGTGTTGCTTTGTTCCACTGATAAATTACAGGACGCTGGGAACTACTGGACAGGATTAAATGAGGTGTTCTGAGTGTCTGAGGCATTCTGGCTATTTCTAGATATTCCACATCAGTGTCCCTGTACCAAGCATGTAAGGATTGATGGGAGTAGAATCCATTTCCATTCCATTTGTAAATGGTAGTAAAACCAGCTTTTGAACTGTCAGCAACAACAAAGTACCAGTTGTTTTCAATCTTGAATGTTTCAATGTCATTGGGTTTTCGGATTTTGAGAATTTCAATATCCTGGATTTTTATGAATTTATTTGCAAAACTGTCGCGCTTATAGATGTGAGAGCCGCCAAATAGCTGGGCCACAATAACATAGAGCTGAGTTTCAATGACTATAGGCTTGCACACTACAGTGGACGTGCCTGGGAAAAGACAAAGGGGAGGTTAGTTGGATGGCTACCTTCTTTGGAGCATGTAAACATGCAGGCTGAGACCATACAACTTCTACCAAAATCTGCCTGAAATAAGAGATTTCCTTGGTTGATTAGGCAAGGCCAATCTCCAAGGCCAATGGCAGCAGGATCCCGAAGTTCTGTGTGCTTCATGGGGTCTTGTTACCAACAATTGAGTTGTCACGTCACATTCAACACGAACTGGATGTTCAGGACACATGGCTACAGCCTAAGTTTTCTCCTCTCCCTTCTTGCAGAAAGAAAGCATTGCTTTTCCTGACACATCATGAGTTAGTCATTGTAATTGTAGTGAAAACTGCCATTTATTGAGCATCTACTATGTGCTTTGCCAAGTCATCTCATTAAAGTTTCCCAACAATCTTAAAAGAGAAATATTATTATTCTCCCTTTTGCAGATGAGCAAACTGAAGCTCAGAAAGGTTCACAGCTGGTAGGAGAAGGCAGACTTGGCCTTCAAACCCAGGCCTATAGCATCGCTATGCTTTTAACCCAACTTGGGGCATCAGTCAGCTGTTCCAGGGCTTCCAACTTGGGCTAAGATCTCAAAAGGTTCTAGAATAACCCCACGTAGTCTTGAGCGGTTGTCTGGGCAGCCCATGGCTCTACCTGTAATTGATTTGCTCTAAGTATGAACTTCTTCTTGCTCTAAAATAATCTGACTCTCCCCTGGGAAAGGAAAAGAGACGCACTTGTCATTTTTCTGAAGCTTTAGGTCACTGGTGGCAGGAGAGAAAAGAAGGAAGAGGAATCCTTGAGAAAAGTGAAAGAGGGGTACAGCTACAGGCAATGCTCTTGAAAGTTACTTTGGAAAATCTCAGAAAACAGTATGGGATCTGTCAGTGGCCTAGCTGAGTATCCTTTTGCTAAGAATTTAACATTTATCAATAGATTCTAATCTTTTAGAGGGAGCTCGGCTCTGGGAAATCCAAAGAGAGGCAGGGCAATTCTGGGCCCCAGGCCTCATCTGACTACAGCTCTAGGGCGCTGAGGCAATGAGTTCTGCACCAATTCCTTCTACTAATTGGCTCCATCCACAGGCCAAATTATTCTATTTATGACCCTTTTCAGGACTGAATCGATTGTGTGACTTTGGGAAAATCACTTAACTTCTCTGGGATTCAGTTTGCTCTTCTGTACAATGAGGGTTTGGACTAGACCAGAGGTGGCCATTAGATTTCAACCATGTATCAGTATTGATTGACTGATTGATTGTGACTGCCTGGAGAACTGTGTTGAGAAGGATTCTGTGGCCCTGTCTGCATTCTGCATGAAAGAGCACCATGATAGATTAGTGATGCTCGTCTTGGGTGAGAGAGGGGATAGCGACCACATATGTGACATATATTTGTCATCCTAGACTAGATAATGCCTCCTGAAAGTCTGAAAATATATAGCTCATTTCTCTTTCAAGTGCTCACATAAAGATTCATTCAAAGCACTTGATGGACTATACACAGGTAAGAAGAACCTGGTTTAGACTACGCAAAGGCCTGCTGAAATCCACTGGAAAACTGAGGGGGCCTTAGGAAGATGGGGGAGCATAGCCTTTCTCCACAAGAAGGAAAGAGGATTCGGGGAGGGTCTCAGTTTGGAGGGGATCCCTTCATGTGGGCACTTCACTCTCAAGCAAGCCCCAGACCTGTCTCGATCCTTTGAGCAATGGAGCTCACGACCACCATCAAAGTCTAATTATGACCCTCCCAGCCTCGTCTAATGTGTGACCTTTTATGGGGACATTTGAGTGCTCTTAGGAGCAGATATAAAGATGTTAGAAGCTAAACTTGATGTAAATATTTCAGAGGGAGCCCCATGTTCTAGTTTATCACTTAAAAATTTAAAAATGGTTGAGATGAGAAAGAAACTTCAGAGATCACCTAAGTAAAAGTTTTCATGGAAAAAAATTGGCTTTCGTGGTCAAATTAAATGCAAAAAATACTAGAAACGGTTGTTTCCTAACTGCAGGGCTTCCCAGAGCCTCTAAAGTGTATGAATCTCCAAGTGGGAGATACAGTTCACAGATTTAGGGGAACACAAAACCCTTTTTGTCACGAGGCATATATTAATATTTTGCGGAAGTAATGTTTGTGAAACAAAGTTTGAGATTCAGTGATCTAAAATAGCATCCTTATTTTATAGCTAAGAAAAAGCAGGCCCAGTGAGAGTGAGTGACTTTCCCAGTTGGTTTGTGGCAGAACCTGGATTAGAACTCATGATTCCTAGTCCAATACTTTTCCTTTGAAGAAAAATAATCCACCTTTTATTGCATATTTACTAAGCCAGGTTCTATGTTAAGTTTCTTGAATATATGATGGCATCATCTTATAACAGCCTTGTAAATTAAGTATTATTATTCCCATTTTACAAGTGAGGAAATTAAGGTTTAGGGAACAATCCCAGGTCACTTAGTAAATGGCAGAGCTGGCATTCCAACGACCCTAAGCCTGCCTAAAGCATTTCCCCACACCCACCCATTTTTTCCTGTTGTCCTTGGCCCAAGCAGCTTAACTTTCCACTCCAAATATGATCAGGCTTTTCGTACCTGTAATGTTGTCATAATTCCGGAAGGTCTTTTCTACATGGTCCCATTCAAGGAAAATGCATTTTCCAGTAAAGGGCTGAGCGATGACTACATACTCATCATTCATATAAGAAAAAGTGTCTATGGACAGTGATTGATAAGGCAGGTCCTGAGACTTTGCAAATTCTGCAAAAATAGGAAATGATGAGTAACCGTGTGCTAATGCCTTGTTCCTCGGCTGGATCTCAAATGTCCATAAGAAATAAATTTTTTTTTAGGGAAATAGTAAAATAGCAATTTTACTTTGCTTTCAAACACATGAAGTTTTAATCGTTCGTAATATTTTTAAAATTAAGTTGCTTGGTCTTTGAGATATAAAACATGTCGGTCCGTGCACATGCAAAAAATGTAGCCCCTATTTTCATTTTATGAAGTGAAATGATTTGGAATACATTACCTGTAATGATGCAATCAAAATCCTTGGAGGAGAGACTATTGATTTTGCGCTTCTTATATTCCGGGGGTCCTTCACAGTAGATGTCCTCGACAGTTGCGTTGGTGTGGCCTAGCCATTCCACCAGCCACTTCAGTTTACAGTCGCAGTTAAACGAATTCCCTCTCAGGTCCCTGAAAGACAGACTCCAACTGCTTTTGCTGTAGGTGGGCCCTGCTTACACAGATATGGCTTCTACTTCAGCCATTCGCATGTGCAGAACGAGCCATAATCATCGTGTGCGAGATGCCCCACAATCTACCTTGAACCTGACCAACTATTCACCTCGCGCTCAGACAGTTACCGCAGCAAACCCTGGAAGGCCACCCCAGCAATGGGAACTTGTAACTTACTCCCTGTTGGAGTCAAAGTTAGCTCCGTCTAGAGCTGTGCTCGCCAGAGAAATAGAAGGTGAATCACATACGTCATTTAAAATTTTCTACAGACACGTTAAAAAAGTTAAAAGAAATAGGTAAAATTAATTTTAATCATACATTTTACTTAACCTAATATATACATGCTATCATTTTGATGTGTAGTCAGTATAAAAATTATTTACATTCTTTTTTAATACTAAGTCTTTGAAGTCTAGTGTGTATTTTATACTTATGGCATGTCTCAATTTGAATGCTAAATTTTCATCAGGAACACCTGATCTATATTTAGATTTAATAAAATTTACAGTTGAAAAAAATAGATTCACACCCCAAGTTGTTCCAAACATACTTAAAAGTTTCCCAGTAATTGAACCCAGAGTCAGTTTTTAAAATTAAATTTAGCTTTTTACTTGATTTTTGTGAAATTTAAAGTTAGGTTCCTCAGTCACACTGGGAACACTTCTCAAGTGCTTAGTGACCACACGTGTGGCTACCACATTGGACAGCACAGGTCTAGAGGATAGAATGCACTGATGACTCTTTCATATTTATTTATTTATTCTTTAAAGATTTTATTTTTTCCTTTTTTCTCCCAAGGCCCCCCAGTACATAGTTGTGTATTTTAGTTGTGGGTCCTTCTAGTTGTGGCATGTGGGACGCCACCTCAGCATGGCCTGACGAGCGGTGCCATGTCCGTGCCCAGGATTCGAACTGTTGAAACCCTGGGCCGCCGAAGCGGAACACGAGAACTTAACCACTCAGCCACAGGGCCGGCCTCAACTGTTTCATATTTAATCAAATCGAGTAAGCTGTTTGCTTTTCTTCTTCCTCACAGATGTAATTAATCCTGATCCTATTCCATGGTCTACAAATTTCAATTTTAATAGGAAATGACTTCGACACAGCAGAGTTAACACAGACATACAATAGCTCATGTCCATAATAAACTATTCAGCATAGATATTTTAAATTTCCACATATGATCCCACCTCACTAAGTTCTCTGTTTATTTGCACTGCTTCTGTTCAGAAGTTCCATCTCTTTTCTAAAATCCTTTCTGGTCACACAGAACTCCTAAGATAGGTACTGCCTACTCTTCACACAGCACATGAAGAATTTTTAAACGCTGAAGCATTTAAAAATGTTTTTTAAGGGATACATTCAAGAAATCTCCTAAAAGGCAAGTTGGCATGGGTCCCCGTACTTCTTAGATAATTCTTGATTTGGGCATAACAGAGTAGGACCAAGAGGCAAATCCATTACGGGATTCCCTGGAGAGACTAAGCCAATTTCAAGTGGGGTTTTTTTGCTAGTGTGGGGCATAGGCTGACACAGAGATGGGCCAGAGGGTCCCCAAATAAGCTATATCTCCAAGTCTGCCATAGAGAATCATAAACTTCCAAGACATTCCCAGGACTGACCTCATCTCCCAAGAATACTCTGACCCAGAATAATGAGTGTCAACGCTGCTGGGCTGTCCCAAACCAGAGCGGATAACTGTGGTGTGCCCGAGACTCTCTGGGAAGCGTCCTGAGTCTGGCACTTTCTTGGAAATAAACCATCATTCAGCAATTGGGGTAATAGGCATGGAGGAGGGGCTGGGGGAATACTATAAGGAACAAAGAAAGTTTTTCATTAGCTTACTGATTGGAAGTTCAGTACTGGGTTTAGGAGAAAATACTTGACAGATTTTTTGTGATTGGAGAAAAGTTGTTTTGAATATATATTCTATAGCAAAGTACCTGATTAATAAGAAATCTTTTCTTTTCATACATCCTTTCATTTGTTCCTGTATTCTACCTTATGGCATTTAAACACCCTTCTAATGTTCTGGAAGGCACTTAATGAAGCGAAATTGCTTTGGAGAGGGTTAGGCATATATTACTCGCTTTGCTTACAGCAAAATATACAAATTCCTTACAAAGATCTTTCACTCTGAGGCTTAAAAGTCAAAGTTTGAAAGCTCTTTTGTTTGAAAAAGGGTCAAAAATAATTAAGTTCATTCCCTTTCTGGGGCTTAAGCCAAATTCCTGGGGATTAAGCCTAGAGTTGTTGTTCAGTCTAATGAGAGAAAAGGCAAACTCTCCTCCCTTCCCCCACTTCCTGCTCCATTTCTCTGTTGACTGACCAGCCCATGGGTGTAACCTTTCATCTTGACTCTGTCAGTTTCCCAGACTCCTTTATGTTTTTCCTTTGTAGCCCCATTTCCTGGACCTCATGAGAAAAAAGCATCTTGAAATTTCTATCTGGGCCTCTTCTTTCCACCGGCTGAAAGTCCCTCATCGTCACTCGCTCCCATACAGACACACACTTTGTCAAAGGCATGCCTGGGCACTATATTTTCAGGATTTCCAGGGGTAAATACCATAGAAGATTCAAACTTCAGTCCAAGTAAATTGAAAATTTAAGCCAACTTAAAATTTAAAATTCTAATTTAATTTTAAAGCCAATTAAAAATTCTAATCACCAATACCAGGTTTCTTTGTTAATCATTGCAAACTAACGAATTAATCAGTGATTTCTTAGGTCGTCTTACACATTTGTTAAAGAATCCAGGCCTTTGAAAATGTCTTTTGGGAGTGTCTGGAGATTGTTGTTTGCAAGGCTCCTGGAAAAAAAAAAAGAATGATGTAAACTGTAGTCATAAACTAAGTAAATGCATTTTATGATAAAGCTTAATTATGAAGCCTTTTGTTCTGTCCAAAATATACCAAATTACGTGCAGTACTTTTTTTTTTTTCTCTTCTAAGATACTACGCAGATTCCTGCTATTGTATTTTCAATTCCTGGCCTCTTTTCTTCATCACTCACTCAGTATTTATGGCACTTCGTGTATCATGGTGAAAAAACCCCAACACCCCCCAAATAGCAGCAAGAAAATGATGCCTGGGCATTGATCTTTCTATTTAGAACAGAATCTGAGATTCACACTCTCACACATTCAGTCTGGGGGATGTCTCCCAACTGGTGACAGTGTCCATCTCCAGATATCTCCAGATGCCCTCTCCCTTCACACTCAGGCTGCCCTTCTCCTCCCTCCTTCCACCTCACTTGCTCCAGGGAGCAGCTAAACCTCCAAGTGGTAGTACAAACACCTCTAGAGTTTGGGGACCTGTCTAATCTATCCCTTCATCAGCATATCCTTTCTTCTTTCCAAAGCACACTCCGTCTTTTCTATATTTGTTTCCTTTTAACTCCATTCATTCCACCTCAGAAAATACCTTTCTCACAAAGACTCATCCATCCATTCATCCTCTTTAATCACTTCCTCCTTTCCCTTTCGTCCAGTTCCTACCGTATTTTCACAGGAATTGTTTTCTCCTTCTCTTTCTATTTGTTCTTCCACATACCACTAGAATGATTCTAATTAAGGCTAATGAGGAGGAAACAGTCCTGATAGTATCAAGATAAGGGAAATATGTCCATACTGCAGAAGCATGGACATAACACAGAACAGATGCTGTCTGATGGGGAAGGTACTAGGTACTGGCAATTTTCTATTTTTAACCAGCAGTGTACATATACATATTACGTACTTTTCTTAGGAGTGTTTTTAATTTTCAGAATAAAAATTTTAAAGTAAAACAAAAGAGCCTATGCTGTCAGCCTCTAAAGTCCTTGAAAATTCTCTCAAATTCCCTTAAAAATACTCTCAAAAGTCTTCTATGTCTTTCACTTCCTCTAATTAATATGAGATTTCTCAAGTGCAAACCTTCAAGAATTTTAAAATCAATTTTAAGTTAATTACGTTGTTTTTCTGAGTTTTAGAAATCACTACTAGACTGGAAAACTTTTTCAATGAACCTTGGAACTGAGAGTAGGAACTGAATCCAAATGTCCTAGTCTCAATGAAGGTCCATTTTATAAAGAAGGGCACAGCTTTGGAGTTATTGTGAGCTCGATTTGCATCCTGACTCCACTATTTACTGGCTGTATGACTTGGTTATGTATCTTCTCTGAGGCTCAGTTTTTTCATTTTTAAGTGGATGTAATAATACTTCATATCATAAGATTGTTAGACAAAGTAAATGAGGTAACTCAGTATGGTACCTGGCATCTGGTCTACCCTCAATAAAGCGCAATGAGGAGGAGGAGCAAGGGAAAGAAGGAGAAGAGCTTCTGTGTGTCCATTGCTCAAGAAACAACATTTAGAAAACTGACCATATGAATGAACTGTTATGACTGTCCACCTACGTAGTATTAATAAAATGCTGCTAAAGAAGACTATTGAAGAGAATGCCTCCATAATTCATCTTCCTGCCTGGTAGTTGAATGAAGAGATTTCTTGGCGTCTTGGACCAGTCCAGAGTCACTGCCAAGTTATGTGTCTCAATTTATTTGCTGGCACAATGTGTCTTACAGTTCTCATGCTAACTTCTCCTAAGTGGACATCCCTTCCTCAGAAACCAGCACAAACTGCAGCTGGCTTCAGGGCACAAGCTTAGAGGAGGCTGGGTCACAGGACAGTGGGCATTAAATGATGAAACAGTCAAGTCCTGAATTACTGCTGCCCCTAGGGTTGCACAGGAAGAGGCACCATGTTTGTGTTGCTGCCAAGGTGCCAACGGGTGAATCTGGGGTTTCCACTTCCTCCCCAAAGGACAGAGCTCTAGGCCCCACATACCCAAGGTGAAGGCCAACTGCAGAAGTGGCTGGGGGGATACAGACTTGGAGCGATGGGGCTTCTGGGATAGAGAGACATCATTTTTGCACAACGAGATGGAGGACTTATAATTCAATAGAATTGCAGGATGGGGCTGATGAAGGCAGGCTGGCCTGATGGGCTGTAGAATGAGGCATTGTGTTTCCTGAGGACTTCTTGTGATAGGGAAGCTCTCATCCTAGGAACCAGAGGGTGGGGGAGGCAGAGGAACATGAGGGATGTCGGAAGGAGAAATGGTGGATGGATTTACTGCACCCAGTGTGACCCCTTCTCTGTTATACTTCCAAATTCGAGGGAATACTGACTCAGGGTACTGTTTCTGAAGGAGATGGAATGGAGCTTCATGTCTAGGTTTGGTGAGGGGCAGGCATGAGAAGGCTGCCTGGACTCTTAAAAGAAGCAGAAACAAGAGGAAGAAGGCTCAGAAATGAGAAGGAGTCTTCTGGCTGCCCAAAGCCCAGGCCAATGGGTTACATGTGGATAAAAAGAAAGCAGACACCAGGGATTTGGGCAGAGAATGTCTTAGGAAAGCAGTGCTGACAGAGCCTGGGAATTATTCTGCAAAAAGTGTAACAGGGCCCTGATATAAAGCAAGCTTCCAGTGCAGGCTGATGGGTACAGGATGAAGGATGCACTGAAGACACAGAAGGGGATCAGCAGAGCCTGAAAAGTTAAGAAGAAATGTGAAATGACTCTTCACATGTCTTAGCTATGGCCAGTTGGGAGTTTTTACCAATTCCCAAGTGAAGAGAAACTGGGAATACTAGAGGCCCACTGCACAATTGGGGAAAGATATTTAATCTAGCATTGCCTAGATTAGCAAAGAATTGGAAACAACCTACATGTCCATTAATAAGGGATTGTGTAAATAAATGATGGTTCATACCTAACATGGAATATTTTCCAAGAGATTTTAAAAAATGAGGTAAATCTTTATGACTTGATATGAAATAATGCCTAAGTGAAAAAGAGGCAGTTGGAGAATAGCATGCAGAGTGTAATCCCACTCGGGGAGGAAGGATATATGTCTATAGATGCATAAAGACAGGTCTGGAAGGAGAATATAAAAACTGTTGACCAAGGTTACATCTTGAGGTAGCTGGAACCTTTCGGTTTTGCAATGGAGATGGAGACGTCTGGAGATTGTGAGAATTTTTATCATCAAGCATGTACTGTTATTTTAAATTTAGAAGAAACAAAGAATAAACTTTAATTTTTTTTTTTTTAAAGATTGGCACCTGAGCTAACAACTGTGGCCAATCTTTTTTTTTTTTTTTCTGCTTTATCTCCCCAAAAGCCCCCTGGTACATAGTTGTATACCTTAGCTGCAGGTCCTTCTAGGTGTGGCATATGGGATGCCGCCTCAACGTGGCCTGACGAGCGGTGCCATGTCCACGCCCAGGATCCGAACAAGCGAAACCCTGGGCCACCGCAGCGGAGTACGCGAACTTAACCACTGGGCCACGGGGCGGGCCCCTAAAGTTGAATTTTTAAAAGGACCCCATTGCTTAGGATCTGTGTATGTAACGGTTCTGTCCAGTGAGCATTCAATCATCCTAAATCGATCACTTGGCTGCATTCATAAAGTTCCAAAGTTACAGGATATAGTGCAAATAACTGTCATGGTTAACACTTGGGTGCCTGAGTAGTCAGATGATGTCAACCTCTTTCATGAGATGGCTTCAGGATGGAGCTATCTTCTTTTCCACAAGATTCTCATATGGCTTCAGGCCCTCACTGTCTGGGGAAGTTTAGGACTATAGTCAGCCAAGCCATGGAGCCATCCATGTGGTTTCCTAGAACCAGCTGAAACTCAGCTTTGAGGAGGGCCTGGAGCCTCCAGAAACCACCATGGGCTTCTGGGAGCTTACAGGAGATTCTCTGCAGGGGAGAGCTGCTGAGGGCTTCGGGCCAGGGTTACCACGGAGGAAAAGGGGCAAGTTCTGTGATGCTCCCAGAAGCCTGCTCAGCCTTTGGTCCTCATGCAAAAGAGTGAATGAAATGAGATCTGGTGCCTAGTAGGTTGTTCAAACAGCTAGAGATATTGAAACAGCATATTGTGGGTTAGGGTTATTTTAGGGTTGATGTTAGGATTATTTGTTTCTTCAGATTCCATCTCTGCATTGAGTTTCACAGAGTAATAACTTAAAGTTATTATTCCCTTTTCCTCTATGGAAGCTCTGGTTGGAATATGTTGTGTATCTTTTGTAAAAATGGTCATAGCTCTTATTCCCTGCCTCATTTAGTGCATGTAGGAATTCGGGTGCTGGCTTTGTCTCCAGTAGAGAGGGGATTCGATTTGCGCTTTATCACTCTCAGGGTGTGACTTTGGTCAATTTAATTTAACGTTTCTAGTTTTCTGTCTTGACATCTGCGAAACTCAGTAGAGAATACTGATTTCATTTCTTGTGAGAATTAACACAGGCAGCTGCTGATATTTTATATACACATTTGAAATGGATTCCAGGAAAAATTCTGTTTCTGCAGGTGAACTTTTAAGCCTTATGTTAGATAATCAAGACCACAAAATACATCTTTTTCTTTGTTGTTGTTGGCAAAAACAGTGATACTGAATACCTAAGCACTTTTAAATGCTCAATTCAGAAGGTTGAGATCACCTATTCTCTTTGTCTCTCTGCAGAGAGAGATGTCTCTGCCTTGGCATTCTTAAATGTCCCATCTTTTACTGAGGTATACATATATATTTTACTTATCTATATATACACACACACACATATATATACATATCATATATGCATATATACACATATACATACATATACACATACGTAATAATTATTATTTCTTCACTTCAAGAAAATTTGGAAAGTACAAAAATTATTTTTAAAAAGGAAAAAAACAATAATCATCCTAGCCGAGGCAACCAGATTTTGTCATATTTTCTTTCAATCATTAATACAGAGCCCTTCTCATGGGGACGCTAA